AGCCTGTCCTCTCCTTCACCCCCATCTGCAGAGCCTTTCCTTTCAAGTGCCTCTGCAGAGCCTTTCCTTTCAAGTGCCTCCTCTGGGAAAAGGAAAAACAGCCCCGAGCTGTGCAAATGATCCCCCTGCTCCTGATTGCCCAGCAGCTGTGCTTCCTTTGCAATGTAAAAATACCTGGACAGCTCATGCTTTGTCTTAAGGAATGTTGCATCTCTGGTTGTAAAAACCAAACACTGAAACACTGAATCCTGTTAGAATTATGTAATTCCTGATTGTTTTATCTGTTACTCAAGCCTTCAATGTGTCATGATGTTTTGTCTGATGTCTATAACGATTTCTCAGTGTTTCTGTACTATGATTTTGCATTTCCCCGTTGTCCTCACCTTCTCATCCATTCCGAAACTCACCACCACCCTGAGCCACAACTTTAAAAACTCTATATATGCTCTGGATCACTTGTAGTCAGTGCAGTATACTGACTGCCCAACAGTGCTGCTGTTTTCTCAGACAGAGAGGGGTGCCTGGTTGCTTTCCCAGTAAAACTGCTGAGTCTGGGCATCGTGTCCAACGTACATTCCCTTGGTTCTGCTATTGAGATTTCCTGACAAGAAGTTGCAGTGAAAGACGGCATATTTTGGCTCAGTCACCATTTAAATGGAGAAGAGGAAGTGAGTTATTGAAGTTGAGAAGAGGGAGGGGAGGGGTGGGGAGGAAGAGATGATGAAGAGGTCAGACTAGATGGCCCGGGAGACCCCTTCTGACTCGCTCTGTTCCTATGTTTCTGTGTTTCTATGATGACAACTGAGACACGGAAACAAAAACATAGCTAGTCAGAAGAGGCCTCCTGGCCCATTTAGTTGGACCCCCGGTTCCAGCTGGCTCTGCTCATGACTTGCCCACCATGTGCACGTCCAGCCTGTCCTTGAACACCCTTCCCGATGGGGCCTCACCCACCTCCCAAGGAAGCCCATTCCACACCCTCGGGGTCCCAACTGTCAGGAAGTGCTTCCTGGCATCCAAATGGGACCTCGGCTCCCTGAACTTTGCTCCGTTGGAGCACGTCCTGCCTTCCTCTGCAGGGGAGGTCTCTACCCACCTCCACGTGACACCCCCTCACACACCTGCATGTTGCCAACAGATCCCCTCTGAGTCTCCTCTTATCCAGGCTAAGAGACCCAGTTCCCTCAGTCTCACCTCACACGGCATCCCCTGCAAACCGGCCACCAACCTTGTGGCCCTGCGCTGCACTGACTCCAACCTGGCTATATCCCTCTTGTAATGAAGGGTCCAGAACTGAATGCAAAACTCCAGCTGTGGGCGCACCAGGGTCATAAAAAGTGGCAGTAACACCTCTCTCAATCTAGAAGCCATGCTTCTGGCTATGCAACCAAGGGTGGCATTTGCCCTCTTGGCCACCGCATCACACGGCTGGTTCATGTTCAGCCTGCAGCCTACCAGCACCCCGAGGTCCCTTTCACAGGTGCTGCTCTCCAGCCACTCGTCCCCTCACCTGCACTTGTGATGCTGTTCCTACGCCCCAAGTGCAAAGATTGAACAGGATCAGTCCCGTGACCGAGCCCCGGGGGACCCCGCTCATCACCAACCGCCACCCCGATGATTCCCCGCTAATGGTCACCTCCTGCTTTCGGTCAGTCACCCATGCCCTAATCCATCGGACGGTGCTTTGGTGTACCCCAGAACTCCTGTTTCTCCGCCAGGATATCACGGGGCTCTCTGTCCGAGGCCTGGCTGACTCCCAGGTAGACCACACCTACAGTCCCCTCCGTCGAGCCGCCTCGAAACCTTGCCGTACCCTGGCAGGGAAGAACGCCCCACCCTGGCTGTGCACTGCGGAGCCCGCGCCTGACGGGGGGTCCCGCCCACGCTTGCCGCTGCCCCAGGGAGGCCGGCGCAGAGGGGCTCTGCTCGCCAGGCTCCTCTGCAGGTCCAGTGCCGTGCTGAGCCGCTGATGCGGCACCCCCCGCCCGGCCCCCGGCCTGTGACCAAGTTGCTGCCACGTCCAGGGCCTGTGGCGATGCCTCTGCTGCTCCTCTGGCCCGCCAGGGATGGCCGTGGGGGCCAAGGGGGCCCGGCAGTCCCGCTCGTGGGCCAGAGGGAAAGGAAAAGAGTGTGCCCGGGAGGACAGGGCTTTGGCTGAGCCAGTTCTGCTCTCCCTGCTGCCGGCCACGTAGGCGCTCCGAGCAGACAAAGGATCCTGGTTGCTGGCAGAAGCCTTGGCGGGGGGCAGTGGCCGGACCCCTGGCCTGCAGCTCACGCCGCTCCTGTAGCCCCGGGCCCTCCCTCTGGCCTCCTCCGGGCTCCTGGCCACCCGAGGGCTCTTCGTGGGCCCCGCTCGGCCTTGCTAGACCGGCTGCCTGGCCAGGCCTGAGGCCAGAACCCAGCCCACCGCTGGCACCCAGCCGCAGGTGCCCCCTCTCGCCACGCTTCCGGCAAGCCGCCCAGCGCTCCCCGATGCACAACCTGGCGCATCTTGTAGGCTTCCCTCACTCTTCAGCAGTGCAGCCCTTTTCCGAGAACGAGCGCCATCCAATCAATGGGACTTTCACCTGAGCAGACGCACCTGGACAGGACTGTGAAGGACCTTTCACTCGCTTTGATGGGGGCCGTGCGTTGTGGGCGGGGAGGGATGCGGGAAGCCGCTGGCCCTGCCCAGCCGAGCTCACCCTGGAGCAGAGGGAAGCACGACTTTCGGGGCGAGATCCCGTCCGGACAGTCGCGCTCCGGCCAGGAAAGGGGTGCCTGCGGAGTCCCCTCTCCCCTGCAGCGTGCTTCCCTGCTCCGCCTCTCCATTGCCTCTGAAGCTGCTTGCGGAGAGAGGAAGCCGAGAGCAGCCCTGCTGGAGCTGACCATCGCGCCCAGCGCGCCGCGGCACCCCACACCTCCTCCCTCCCTCGGAGCATCTTCTCCTGCTTGGCTACGCAGGTGGGGAAGGTCGTGCCGTTGCAGCTTCTACCTTCATCTCCGCTTAGGAAGCGTCAACTGCGTTTGGCGTAATGAGCAATGTAGAGAAGGGCAAGCCGAGGGCTGCCTGGCCCCCCCCCCCCCACCGGGACGGGCTCTCGGTGACTCTCTCCCAGGGAACGGGCCACCAGGCGGCTTCTCAGCCGCCGCAGTCAAGGCCTCAGAGCGACAGGAGGCCCTTGCGAGGTGCAAAGACCCGTGACCGAGGAAGCTCCGCGAGGGCTGCCTGGTGCAGACCAAAACCAGGACGCCACGGCTAGGGGTTCCCTGGCCGGAAGACTGCTCTCAAAAGGGGGAAGTCGTACGGTGGAGGCCGCTAGGAGGGGTCCCTGGAGGGGTGGAGTGCCTCTGCGTGAGCTCCCGTCACCCGTCCTGTGCCGACCGGCCCTCTTTGGCGCCCGCCTGGTCAGTTTCTGCTCCGTTTCATGGGGACATAGAAGGCTGCTTTCCAGAAAGCAGATTTTTCTGGTGAGCAATAGCAGAACTTGGCCCTGTAAGTTACATCGGTTGCTCAGTACATCCAGGTAGCCTGGCGATGCAGTCTCCATGACAACCAGGCAGCCTTCTCAGAGGCATCGTACCTGTATGGCCACCTGACAGCGCTCGGCCGGTGGGTCCCGCAGCACCCCGTCCTCTGGCCGGGCGAAGCCAGCAGCATCTGTGTGGGGAGCAGGCGGACCCCCTGCAGCAGCGGCACCTGGGCGGCCCCTGAAATGGGGCAGACAGGCCCTTTCCGATGCCCGGCCACCTCTCCGTGCATGAGCCTGAGGAAGAGATGCCAGAGGGGGCAGCCGTCCGTGAGGTCACACCGAGGGACTGCTGAAGGCTGCGATGGCCACCTCCAGCTCAGCTCAGACCTGGGGTGGCCGGGCCTGTTTGGCCGGGCATGGGGAGAGACGGCTCCGCCCCGGGCTGGAGCAGCCCCTGGCGAGGAGGGCTGCCGCCCACACAAGAGCCGCACCATCTTTCCAGGACGGGCGCCGATCCTGGCAGCGGCCTGGCACGCCAGGGCTCTGGCAGGACACCTCTTAGCAACGGCCACAGGCAGGACATGGCGAGGGACCAACAGCTTTTATTTCCCACAGGTCTTCCCACAACCCTCTGTGACCCCCACAGCCCACGGCTTTCCTGCAGCTGCACAAAGCGGCCCCACCTTGCCTTGCGTGCCGGGCTTCGCCGTCTGCACGCCAGAGAGAAGCCGCTGCGGAGGCACTCGCTCCGCAGCGCCGACTGGGAAATGCCCCTTCGTGCGACCAGCCGGCTCCCGCCAAGAGGCAGCACAGGCCCAGAGGCCTGGACTGGCCGCTCCGGAGGTGTGCGAGGCAAGCAGCTGCTGGACGGATCCGCCGTGCCGGCAGAGGGCTGCCCGGGGGCGTTTCGCCTACTGAAAGCGCAGCTGCTGGATCGGTGCTACCAGGGCAGCTTTTCTGCTTTCAAAGACAAGATGCGACACACGCCGTGGCTCCATTCCCCCGCAGTGGGAAGCCCCGCTGATTCCCCAGGGCTGTCAGCCCGGCAAGGCAGCCCGGAGGTGGAGGGCAAGCCTCGCGGTCTGCCAGTGTGACCCCCAGCCACAAGCCCTCCTGCCCCCCCTCGACAGCAAGCTGGCTGGCTGGCGGTGCTCCTGACACGCTGGCTCCTTTGGACGGGCTGCCAGGGAACTCCTCCCCAGGCAAGCAGCCCCCCCCAAGAAGCCCCTTCCGGGAGCCGAACCAGCCGTGGCTGCACAGGCCCTCGGGGGAACGGGGGCGCAGCCGAGTCTCCGGGACCGGGCCGGAGGCTCTCGGGCCACGTTGCTGCAGCCCTCTCACGCGGCCAGTGACGCGACAGTGAAACCCGCTGCCTGGGGAGTTGGGGGGGGGGGCTCTCCTGCCCTGGGGATGTTCAAGGGGAATCTGGACTGTCATCTGAGTGGGGGTGTGTAGACCCGGGGGGGGGGGGGGGGCGATCTTTACGGCCTGTCCCGGCTCTACCATTCTACGGCTTGGTCCCCCAAAGAGACACGGTGCACCCAGCCGTCTCGGAGCACGTTCCACTCATTCTTCATTCAAAGGGAAAGTGACACCGTCGACCAAAACCACCCGCGCTCCATCCCTGCCAGCGCGCTTCCCGGCAATGCGGGGCCTCCTCCTCGGCGTGCCGGTTTCTGCTGCCTCAGGTCGAGAGATTAGGGCAGGAGTGACCGCTCGGCTGATACAGAAGGGAGCCGGAGATCGGGGAGTGCCCAGAGAGGGCAGGGGCAGCGCAGTGTGCCTCAGTTCCAGATAGTCAGAGAAATCTCAGGATATACTGGGGCTGCAGGCTGCCAGGGCAGAAGCATCTCCCCGGAACAGCAGAGTGTCAGAGCTCGTTGTGCTGAAGGCCCCGGGAAATCCGGCTGGACAAATCTTGCAGGTGCTTCTTGACCTGTGGGACAAAAAGCCGGTTCTGCTGGAGTCCCATCTTGCTGTTTTTTGCAGAAAGCCAATGCCAGGTGGCCCAGCCGCCGGCGGAGTGCCAAGCACGGCATGTGGGCGCGCGGGGGGAGCAGGGTGGAACGCGGCGGCCGGGCAGCCCGGGCAAGTGCTCCAAAGCAGGGACGGGGCGGCCGTGGGGGGCTGCCCCACTGGCCTCCACTGCCTGCAGAAAGGCCTCCGCTGCACCCTGGCACTGCGGGAGGCGCCTTCCCAGCCCCCCTGGAAAGGGGCGTCCCCAGCCAAGCAGGGTCCAGTTTGATAGGGACAGGGCTGGCTGCACTTGAAATTTCCCACCAACTTACAGTTCATTTTCATCAGACAAGCCGCTAAAAAGCCTATTCTCTTTTTTCTAAAGGAGGAAAATTCACTACACATTTCCACTATTTCTAATATTTTTTCGAGCTCCCGCTGACCACAACTCCCCAGGCAACCGTTCCCACTTAGGGCTCGGGCCTGGATCTCGCCTGCAAAGCAACCGCTGCGCTTGGAAGACCCCGTCCCGTCCAGGGACTGCACCGATTCACGGCGGAAAGCGGCTCTCTTCAGGCTGGGTAGCGCCTTGCGGGACCAGAAGGGCCACAGCCAATCCCAGCCACCCAGACGAGAATTCTGCCCGCCGCTCAGCGAGCCCTCTCCTCGTGGGCAGCGGCCACCTCCTTGGGGGCTGTTCTGCACCGGCAGTCGCGCCAGCCCGGCTCAGCTGCCGGCCACTGGCCGGGAGCCGCTCAGGGCCATGGCCATGGCCACGGCCACGGTCACACGAACACAAACGCAGGGCGGGGGACGATGGCCGGGGAGCGGCACTTGCGAAAGGGACCTCGGGGTGCTGGTCGACGGCAGGCTGAACAAGGCCAGCAGTTAAGCGGGCGAACGCCACCCTCGGATGTCTAGCCAGCAGCGTGGCTCCCAGATCTAGGGGGTGTTGATGCTCCTCTACGCGATTCTGGGGCGCCCACAGCTGGAGCACTGCAGCCAGTGCTGGGCTCCACATTATGGGAGAGACATCGCTAGGTTGCAATCGGTTCCATGCGGGATCACAAGAACGTGAGTCGGGCTGGGAGGGATGGCATGTGAGGAGAGATGGAGGGTATTGGGCCTTTTCAGCCTGGAGAAGAGGAGACCCCGAGGGGGTCTTTTAGCGACTTCTGGGTATGTGAGGGGGCGTCAAGGGGAGGAGGGCTGGGACCTGTTCTTCCCTGCAGTGGAGGGCAGGACGCGTTCCAGTGGGGCAAAGCTCAAGGACCAGGCTTCAGGCTGGATGTCAGGAAGTGCTTCCTGGCGGCTAGGACACCTAGATACGGACTGGGCTTCCAAGGTTGGGGCCCCTTCGGTGCGGGTGTCCAAGGATAGGCTGGACATGCACATGGTGGGCATGTCGTGAGCAGAGCCGGCTGGAGCCGGGGTCAGACTAGATGGCCCGGGAGGCCCCTTCTGCCTCGCTCTGTTTCTGGGTTTCTCTGTTTCTACCCAGCGGCGAGAGCAGTGCCAGAACTATGACTCTGGGGCCTCTTCGTACAACCCCGTGTGCGCACTGCCCCCGGCCCCCACGCCCGCTCTCCTCCCCGTGCTCGGGGCGCCTCGGAGTGGCGGGGCCGTGGCACGTTCCCGTGGGGCCTCGGGTGCCTGCTGCAGGAGCTTCCCTGCCGGTCGTCAGGGGGCCCTGGCACGGGCCCCGCCTCTGGGTGGAGGGGAAGCGCACGCCCAGTGGGAGCTGGGGAAGGGGAGGGCGGCTCTGCCCCAGCTCGGGACGGCGCGGTGCAAGGGGGTTCTCGCCTGGCAGCGGTTCCGAGGCCCTCGCGGCGCACGCACGATGCTCCGAGGCCTGGCGCTGGCCACCGCACAACACGTGCTCTGGGCTGCCACCACTGGAGGGGAGGGGAGGGACAGCTCCCGCGGCCCCCCCCCAGTGGAAACGGGCCCTGCCTGAGGCGGCTGTGGGCCCACCACCCCCGAGGGGGCCCAGGGCAGCCCGACGGGGTGCTGGAGGCGGCTGCCTGGCCCCGTGCCAGGCAGGGGGACGCCCACCCACCTTGTAGCCCAGGTCCTTCGTCTTCTCCTCCAGCATGGTGTACTTCTCCTTGTTCCGCACGATGTGCTCCTTGTCGCCGGTCCCCTCCACGTGCTTCAGCTTCTGGTGCGAAATCTCCAGCTGCTTCTGGTAATGGTGGTGCTTCTCCACCTTCGCTTCGAAGTGTTTCAGCTCCTCCTGGGCAGCAGATTCCGCCTTCATCAGGCGCCTCTCCCGGCCGCTCTGCTCCAGGGCCGGCTCCGCCGCACCCACACTCGAGGGCCCCTTGCGCCGTTGCCGTGCATCGCAGCAGGCGCCAGGCACGAGCAGCCCCCGCTAGAACCCCCTGCCCGCGAGACCCTTCCCCCCGCCGGCACACGAGCCGGGCGAGGGGCGTCCTCAGCCGAGGGGCCGGCCTGGCGCTCGCCCCCCGCCAGCAGAGCCAAGGGAGCACATCCGGCCTCGAGGGAGGCGGGAAGGCGAGCCCAGCGGGGCGTGTGGCGCCACTGAGAAGACCGAGGGAGCGGAGGCTGAGCCGGAGGCAGGGAAGCACCCGGGCCGGAGAACACTCACCCGCAGCGATTCAAGCTCTTTCTCTGTAAAATTGGTGGATTTCGCCATATCCCACAGGTCAATCACGCGGGGCTCCTCAAACTCTGGAGGGGCAAGAAAATGCGTTCCTTGTCAAAACAGACCGTCCCGCGGCGCGTCCCATGCCAATGCACGAGCACAGAAACAGTGCTGGCCCTGCGGCCGCTCGAACGTCAGCCGAGGACCTGGCCTGCACACGCCCTTGGGAACCTGGCCGGGGAGGCCCCACGTGCCGGCGTGCGCGCACACAAGGCTGTGTGGTGCGGGTGCCGGGCGCGTGCGCAGCGCCCGCCGGCTGTCCCACGTGCCCGCGCGCCACCGCATCCCAGCCAGGCCAGCAGCGAGGCGAGGGGCCACGCGGCCGTACCGCTGGTGGCGTCGTAGCCCTGGTGGCTGACCCTGCGCAGGCGCTCGAAGCCCTGGTTGATGCTGTGCAGGCGCTCCTTGAGCTCCGAGTGCTGGCCGAGCAGGCGCTCCTCCTTGCGCAGCTGCTCCTCTTCCAGCGGGTTGATCATGTTCTTGTGGGTGTCTGGAAGGGAGCAGAACGTCACCAGCTGGGGCAAACGGGGGGGGGGGGCAGCACCCCAGAGAAAAGCCTTTCGGCCCCTGAACGGAGTTAAACATTGAATTAACACTAGGAATGCTTCCGGACCTTCGGCTCTGCGCACCGTCTCCAGCAGGATGTTGTATTCGCGCACTTTCTCCCGGTGGTGAGCAAACTCCCGCCACAGCTTGTCCAGTTCCTCCTCCTGGAACCTGCCCGACGACCTGGCCTTGAGGAGAGAGCGAGCCAGAGGGGTGAGGCGCCCACTGGCCTGGCCGGAAGCCCCCTCGCGCTGGCCAGGCGCTCCGGGGCGGCTGCAACACGCAGGTCCCTCACCAGGGGACGGGGAGCCTGGCCGGGCAGAGGCGGCCCTTCTTCACACGGTGCCGAGCTGAGCGAGGGGCCCTCCACGGCCAGGGCGCCGTCAGAGGGGAGGGGCGATGGCACGCGGCCGGGCAAGGACAGGCGTGGCTACTGGTCCCGCGGCACATGCCCTTCCGCTGCCCCGGGAGCCGGAGGGGGAGGGTGGGCAGCTCTCCCTCGCTCGGGGGCTTCGCCCGGAAGGGCTTTGGTCTGATCCAGCCTCCGGGCCATTCCGAAGTTTTGGGGCCCTGCCAATCCTTCCTCTGGTCTGAGTGAGGAGACCGAGTTTCCCTGCATCTCCCCTGTCGCTGGGCGATAGTCTTCCCCTTCGTCAGGGTTCAGAGCCAGCAAACTGGCTCCAGGAGCGGCTGCCCAATGCCAGGAAGCTGCAGGCTTGGAGGGAAGCCCCTCCGCAGTAGCCGTGCCGTGTGCGATCGCCCCCTGCCGAAAGCCGCGTGCCAGCAGCACCCGGACAGGGCCTCTGCTTGCCCTCAGCTCAGACCATCAGGGCGTGTGGTGAGGGGGGGCAGGGAAAATGCTGGGGAGGCAAAACCGACCCGTGGCCACCTCTGCCATCAGAGGTCGGGGACTCTGCCAGCATGCCGGGGAAACACCCGTCCCTGAGGCTCCCCCGCGAGGGACGCAGATGTGCAGAGCCCGGAGGCAGGGGCACGAGGGCGGGTGGGCGCACCTTGTTCCACAGCTTCTCCAGCCTGGGGTCCTCGAGGCTATCGTTTTCCAGGCCATCTTTGATGAAGTTGGTGGCCTGTGCTGCTGCTTCTTTCTTCCCGTTCATCCCGTACTTTGCCATAATTACTGGAGGGGAGAGAGAGAGAAACAGGCACTGCACCGGCACCCTCAGACCGGCCATCCCCGTCCCAGCCGGGCAAGGCAGACGGTCCCACACCCACCCGAGCAGCCACCACGGGAGGCGGAGTCCAGCCTGACTGTCCTGAACCCGGCCAAGTGTGCCAGCCCGGCAGTCCCCTCACGAGTCGCGCCTTCGCGGTTCCAAGAGATCCCGCCAAAGTGCCAATCTGTGGGCTGCGTGGACACAGCTGCTGGCTTCTAAGCGTGGAAAGCAGGAGGGGAATCGCCTCATCCGGCTGGTTCCCTGCTGCCCTGCGGTCCCTAACGCCCTGCTCCGACAGCATCCGCTTGGGCCGAAGGCAGACGGACCGTGCGGGGACTGCCGGGCCAGAGGCCCTGAAACGGCCTCACCGGGTTTCAGCCCAAGGTTTATTGCAATTTACGTATTTAAAGCATTCATAACCCTCTTAGTTCTAGCTGTAATTTAAAAGTGTTTTGCAATAAGCAATCGAAACACAGCTGCAACAAGCAAGCATAGAAATCTAATAATAATCAGTAATGTTTATGTAACAGCAAATTTAATATACAAGTAAAAATAAGTCTTACATAAACCTCACATAACCACACAAATCATGAGCATGCTGGAGCTCCAAGAAGCAGCCAATTCCCCTGCTCAAACACAGAAGTTTTCAAAACCACCTTAAACTGTTCCAGACTTGCAGTTAAGCACAGTAGCAGAGCGAGGAAGTTCTGGATATCCGAATCTGAACGCCTGCAAACGAAAGGGCCCCGCAAAGAGGAGAACGCGGGTGCCAAGCTTCACACACGTGGCCGAACGAAGCACCTTCCTCGGCTGCCGCTTGCTGCCCTTCCACTGGGGGGCCGCCGGAGGACGTCTTAAGACGTGGGCCGCCAGCGAAGGAGAGAGGCACCCCTGCTGGCCCCCGGGACCCTTACGGCTGCAAAGGCGGGTGCCGACCCCAGAACCGGGCCCAGAAGTGAGTGGGTGGGCAGCACGGGGGTGCGGCCAGCCGAGGACTGGGAGCCTCCAGCCAGCTCTTCGCTGCCCCGCTTCCCCTCCGAGGGGAACCCAGCAGTGCCGTGCAGTGCCGTGCAGTGCAGTGCCGTGCAGTGCAGCGCAGCGCAGCGCAGCGCAGCCTCGGCCTCGCGTGAAAGGCCCTGACACGCAGGAAGGGTTCAGAGGAGGGCGGCAGGGATGCTGGAGGGACTGGGAGCAAAGCCCCGAGGAGAGACTCAGGGAACCCGGCATGCTTCGCCTCGGGAGGAGAAGGCTGAGAGGAGAGGAGAGGAAGGGCAGTGTCTCCTCTCGGTCGTCCCAGGGTGCAGGACACGGAATAACTGGCTTGAGCTATAGGAAGCCAGATTCCGGCTAGATATCAGGAAAAAATTCCTGACAGTTAGGGCAGTGGGACAAGGGGAAAAGGGAGCCCAGGACCAGTGGGGGGGGCTCCCCCACAGGGAGGCATCAAGATGCAGCTGGAGGCCCTCTGAGGGGGTGCTTCAGCCTGGGGTCCTCACGAAGCCGCGGGTTGGACCCGATGGCCCTGGGCCCTTCCAACTCTGCTGCTCTGCGTTGCAGCTGCTGGGGGAGGGGCTGCTGGGGCTGGACCCCCCCCCCCAGGCCAGAAGTGGTTGCAGCTGGCAGTGCCACCAAGCACCCTGTGCCACGGAGCCTGTGGGGCCTGGATCTCGGAACACCTCTGCCCGCTGCCCCTGTTCTCCTGGGGGAGCACGGCCCACCCAAGGGAGGGGGATCACTAATTTCCTGGCCCCAGAACCCCCCCCCCCCCGTCCAGCTGCGACTTGCCAGGGCTCAGCTGCAATTCCCGGTCCTCCTGCAACAGTCGGACTGCGGGGGGTTTGGGGAGCCTCCAGCCGGAGGAACCCCGCTGGCCCGCGTGCCCCGAGCACGGCAGACGCCAGGAGCGCCACGGCGGGCGCCACAGTTGCCGTACGATGCGCTCGGCCCCACCCGGGCGGCCGCGTCTTTGGGGGCGTTATGCAAAGAGGCGCTCATGTTTCGCGTCCCCTCAGCTGCCCGGCCGTGCAATGCGCGGCGCCTAATTAACCGCGAGCTTCCTTACCGTGCAGGTTGCGCCGCAGCTTCGCCTCCTTTTCTCCGTCCTCGTCCAGCCCTTCGGCTTTCAGCTTTTTCCAGCTCAGCTCATCTTTTTCCTGAATCTTCAGATCACTGTGCAGCTCGGCCAGCTTAACAGCAGAAAGATGCAGCTGCTAGGAGAGAAGCGAGAGCTGCGGTGGGAGGGTGGAGAGAGGGCAGATGCCTGCTGGGGGGCTTCGCCTGGCACCGCGCCCACGCAGCAGGGCCGGGAGGCGGGTGGCCGTCCGCTTCCACACACCACGCCCCTGGCTCCCATCTTCTCGTTACTGCCCTGGCCGGGACCACACCTGCGCAGCGTGGCTCGCTACGGGGGCTCTGGAGCGCCCCCAGATTCTTTGACAGGCCGGGTCTCCAGCATGCATTCCTCCGCAGAACGCACACGAGCTCCGTCCACAGCCGGGTCCGGTACGCCCTCACACCACCTGTGCCTTCCAAGCACCCTCAGGAACCTGAGAGGCAAACCGGAGCGGCCAAGCCGCCCAGGGGCCACCTGCGGCTGCTCCAGAGCATCACAGACGCTGCCCGGGGCTCCTCCGGGGCGCCCCCTCCTATCCAGCGGGCAAGGACAGGCTCTGTCTTCAGGCCACGGTCTGGCGGGAAAGTGAGGAAACCAAACTGCTGCAGCCGCCGAATTATACGCCTAGCCAACCCCCAAAGCCCCCGCCCCCGAGACACCAGGAGAGCTCCTTCTCGCGCTGAGGCCTCAGCTGCTGCACCGACTCTGCCATCCTGGGAGACGGGGCAAGGCGGCGACCGAGGCAGGCCGGCCCTGCTCCCCCTCGCCTGCAACGGCGCTGACTGCCCCTCCGCTCCGCTCGTTCCCGCCCTGACCTGACGAAAGGGAGGCTGCACCGCTTCATCATGCTGCCGCGGCCAGATCTGTGCTCCTCCCCTCGAGGGCTCCGTCTGGCTCGCTCGGCCCAGATGGCGGCCAGTGGGGTTCAGCTGGGCAACGCCACCGAGCCCGGCTCTTGTGAGGCGTGTGGCCAGTCATCTGCGCTGGTGGGGAGCCAGAGGCAACGCGGCGGGAGCACCCTTGACCCGCCGCGTGTTCCAGGGGGAGTGGAATGCGGCCCCCGCCGCCTGGCCTGGTTAATATTAACCCCACAACTCTGGGCGCTGCGAGCTGCAGCCCAAGGAGGGTCCTTGCTCCAGGAAGTCCCCCGCCAGGAACAGCAGGAGGGGCCCGAGCCCTCACGAGGTCCCCCGATTGCTCCTGCGGCTCCAGGCCCGTGGGCGGTGCTGGTGGCTAGGTGGGCCCGCTGCAACGGAGCCCCGCCTGCCGTCCAGAGCCCTGGCATGCCTCGGGGCTCAGCCGCTCTCCCCTTGCTCAGCGGGGCAGCAGAGCCCCCAGGGAGCCCCGCCAGCCTTGCAATGCCCCGGGGCCCCCGGAGGCGCAGCGCTGCGCTGGGGGGGCCGTGGGCCTCGCTGAAGGCTCTGTGGGGGCACCCAGAGGCGGCAGCTCAGGCTGCAAGTGCCAGAGTGCCAAGCAGAGCGGGGCCAAGGGAGGGAGAAGGGGCATTCCCGCAGTTACTTGAAGCAGTCAGAGAATCCACGCGAGGGGATCCCCGGGATCTCTCCAAGCGGGAGAACAGGCGCCAAGGTGGCGAACGCAGGTCGATCCACGCCAGGGAAAACGGGCTTGTCGGCAAAACACGCACCGCTCAAGTGGGGGCTGGTGGGGGCTGAGCCGGCAGCGGCTGAGTCAGGAAGGCATCCCGGGTGGCCGCCACCCCGCGGCGAAAGTCGTGACCCAGGGCGCGGGAGCTGCGCAATGGGCGCTCCGCGTTAAGCATGCCGGGGAGGCCTGAAGCAGAATCCCCGCTGCGCCGATCTATGGGGTGCCGGCGCTTCGACGCCACCGGCCGCCGCAGCAAAGGGGGCGCCGGGAAAGGGCGACTCAGCTGATCGGGTGCCGCGGGGGGCGAGGGGCGCGGCGGATGCCTGGGCTGGGAAGCCGCGGGGCGGCCGGGCTGCGCCAGCCGCCGCAGGACGAGGCCGCGCCCCGCCCCGGCGCGGGAGGCAGACGCCCGCGCACCGCTCCGCCGGGGCTCCTGCGGGCGACCCGTGCGTGCCCGGATCGCGCTTGCGCCGCGCCGCCGCACTCACCCGCTGCGCCTTCTCCCAGACCTGGTTGAGGCGCACCAGGCGGAAGGGCGCCGGCGCGCCCCCGTCGCCCTCCTCGTTGGCCGCGCGCGAGTACTTCCCGGCCGAGGCCGCGGCCGGCGGCGGCCAGAGCAGCGGCAGCAGCAGCAGCGGGAGCAGCAGGAGCAGCGGCGGCGGCGACATCTTGCGGGCACGGGCTCGGCGCAGCGAGCCGGACTACACCTCCCGGCGTGCTCCGTTCCGGTTTCCGGCGCCGCGAGGCCCCCGCGTCGCGCCATTGGCGGGCCCTGCCGTGCCGCCGGATGTGACGCCGCGAGCGGGGCGGGCGCCGGGCGCTGCCGCCGCCTCGCCTGTCCGGCCGGGCGTCGTCCTGGCCCCGCAGCAGGACGCGGGCGG